AAGTAGATGAGTTATGGTTCAGCTTCGGCTAGCGAGTCATTAGGAAATGAGCGCAACCACCAGCGACAAAGCCAAATTGCCCTGAAAATACCCCCAAATATCCTAAAGAAATTTAGGTTTAGAATATATTTGGCAATAGTGACGGAATCAAGATGTTCGATTCTTTCGCGCCTCGAACTAAATCACGAGATGCAACTATGTTTGACGAACATTCGTGTGCGATTCGCCTGAATTCATCACCGATGTTGCCAACCTCTGCATGTTTGACTGTCCTTAAAAAAAGAAACTTCAGGCAATGACATTAAAAACTAAGTAATTGATACCGGACCATACAGGAATGAAAGTTTCCTACTCGAATTTGACCGTACTATATAATAGAAAACTACATCGGGTTCTTCTATTAAATCACCTTTTTTTATAAAGAAACTAATGGCATATACGTTGTTTCCGAAATTAGTCAAAAAAGGTAGTTTCATATGCAGTCTACCGACTTCACGCTTAAAGAGGAGAGGGGGTCTGAGTTCGTATAATACCGTGTGGAAATTAGAACCGCAAGCTGATATTTTTCAAAACTCCTCGATAGTTAAAATCAAAATACCGTCAATAAATACCGACTTTTTTATATAAAAGGCACGTGGTGTCATTTTGCAAGGGGGTGGAGTTTTTGGCGCAGAGTAATTTATGAAAGGCCCTGAAGTAATAACACTTATGTACATCTCGTAAAATGAATATTTGTTTTTTAAAAAAAAATCAAAATTGGTTACGCGGTTGAAAGTTTTACGTAGGCAGCACTTAGAAAAATCGTATAAGATCCGAATTTAAGAATTCTATACATACTGAATTGGACCGCACTAAGCGGAAAGGAACCAAGCCGCATATCAGTTACTGCTAAAAACTGGGCAATTTATTTTCTTACATGAAGACGGTTGTGCGGATTTTTGTGCAAATTTCAGGGAATTTTCTGGATTGTACGAAGCAAACTCCGTAAAATTTTCGAAGGAATCCGCATAAACGTGATCTTGTAAAGAAATCAAATTGCCCAGTTAAATTTGGAAGTAGCTGATGTGGCTTGGTTCCTTTCTGCTGAACGCGGCTCAATTGCCACCCGACCACCCACAAGAGCTCTCTCGCACAGAAGCTCCTACAACCCAATGGAAGCAGTGGCGTGGCGTGAATTGCGATGTATCGATTGTTATGCCATTTAAACCTATGGTAAAGAATCGATTATTAAGGTGTTCCCTGCGAACACTCTATTTATCGATCCTCTTCCATAGGTTTAAATGGCAGATCATTCGATACATCGCAAAGCACGCCACGCCACTGACGCCAATTGCGAAACTCGGTCCAACTATCGCCGAGGCGTTATCAAGAGCGTTATCATCAAAGGGAGCGCGGTTTAATCAGAAAAGATCACTCAACAGCAAGTGGCGGGCATTAGAGGTACTCGAGGAGGGCTACAAAGTCCTCGGGCAGGGCAGGAGAGGGGGACTGGATTCTGGATCGTCGACGGATACACTTAAGCAACAATAGAAAGTGCAATTGCATTTGAAACTATGCCGCCGATAACGTTGCTCCTATGGCGTGAGGGCGTATGTCGATTTCCGCATGATACCCAAAAAGCATGAATTTACATGTAAGACAGGGCTCACTTGGAAGATGAAATACGCCCTTATACGTCAGAGGGGCGGCGATAAGTGTGCACTAGTTGAGAAGGGGAGGGATCCGCGGATTCCACCGTGTATTGCTGGCTGCGTCGGCAATGCCGTCGGGGGCGATACCCGTATGTCTTTTAGTGATTTTCCGAATTGTCTTCTGAACAGCGGTGCCGGCATCGATAATCCTCGTGTTATCAGTCCTTTTCTCTCTTCTCTTTGTTTTGATTTTCTCGGCCATCATGTGGATTGCATTTTGCAAAAAAGAACCAGGAGCATTGCAATGTTGCAAAGATTGTGCAACTTCTTTTGCCTTGGAAGAAAAACCTGATTATCCATTAACAGTTCCTATTTTGCTTGCTAAAAACTGTAAATTTAAGACAAAAATTCCCATGTAAATTTCAAATTTTTTCATGATTTCAATATTTTTGATGCGAGGGGTGAAGTTGCACAATCTTAGTATCATTGCAATGCTTCTGGTTCCTTTTTGCAAAATGCAATCCATGTAGTCTGCAGATTTCTATTTGGAATTATAATATTTTATTTTTATTCTTCCGACTGAAAATAGCTTAGTTTTGGGCCGAAACGTCTTGGGTTGTTTGTGTGTAATTTTTAGCCTTGTTTCCTGTTTTTTCTCCTATGTTTTTGATATCACCATTGTCACGAGCTGCTGTTTTAGAAACTTTAACCTATAATATCCGTAAGCTGGCGTGATTCAGGCGTCGGGTGTAGACTGTAGAAAGGGCAGTTCTCGGTTGCGATGTCTCAAAATCGTCACTGCTAATTCGTATTTTAGAGAGGTAACCAAGGGATGAATTTTCCGAAATTTTTCGTCTTCAGTATCGTAAAATCATGAAGAAACCTTGGTAAATACTTCAACGAATTACACGCAATTTGCTTCAATTTGCTTACAAATTCTGCCGTGCTAAGGAAGAACACCGTACGAACATTCGAGAGTTGCCAAATTTTCCTTGATAAAACATGTATTTTTAACCACATTCATTCATATTTTTCCTTGAAATTTTTAGATATTTTGAATTAAATTGCCTACAAAATTGTCTGAAATTTTTGGAAAATAATACTCGTAATATTACCAGTAAATTCGGTTTTTATAGGAGGAAACTTGGCAACGTCTAAAGGTTCATACGGTGTTCTCCCTTAGCACGGAAGTGTAGCAGTAAATTTGATCACATCGAAATGTTCATAAAGCATTCTCCCATAGCGCGGCTGTGTAGAGGAAGCTTATGGGCTTCACTTACCTCCACCACAGTATTTTTTCCAACTAGAGTGCGCTTGCTCGCACGATGCATAATGCACAGTGACGTAGCGTAATTTCCGATATGTCGATTGATCTGCTATTTAAACAATTGAAAAGGATCGATAAACTGAGTGTTCGCAACGAACACCTTAATAATCGATTCTTTACCACGGCTTCAAATGGGGAAAGTCGACAATCGATCATTCCCGCCTCGCCACTGATAATGCATAAGTTAATAAAGAGGCCAAATGAGCTAGAACGTTAGGAGAGCCGTCTAGCCATGGACACACCTCTCCGCGGGCAAAAAATTAGGGCCGTAGACTAATTAAAATTCACATCGATCAAAGCGGGACAGTTTCACTGCCGTGCTAAGGAAAAACACAGTATGAACCCTCAGCCGTTGCCAAATTTCTTTTGACAGATCACAAATTTTCGGGAAAATTTGTAAACAGTTTTCTCCAGATTTTTCAGAGAATCGTGTTCCTGATTTGATTTAAAAGATCTGAAAATTTCAATGTAAAATAATCATAACTTTCTTTAGAAGTAAACTTTTTCCAAGAGGAAATTTTGCAACCTTCGAATGCTCATACGACGTTTTTCCGTAGCGCGGCAGTTGAGTCCTCGCACCTCGAGCTTCAACAAAATTGCAGTGCGTTTTCTTGCTTCCAAGGCTTTGTGCATGATGGGGAGCTATCGCGAGGAATCGAACACGAAGGAAAACTAGGCATAATTTTGAAGGCATCATTGAACAATTCAGGGACAAAACTCAGGCGATTTTAATGAAAATTTCTCTGAATTTTCTATGTGCTGCCGATAAAATTCAGTGAAATTTTTGAACGGAGTCAACCAAAAACTTCTAAGTATTAAAATAGAATAGTGGCGGAAATTTTGAAACGTCGCATCACGCTTGTGCATGATACTTCTGTTGGACGGTGAGGAAATGTAGGTATGTCTCGTTCGCTTTATCACATCCAGGTAAGTCAGTTGCCAAAGAGATTATAATGAGGAAGTTCTTCCATAGAATAGACATCGTTGCTATGATTAGTCCTTCAGAATCACATGAGTCACCAACGTTTGTGACCTACTCCCCCCCCCCCTTAATGCCACCACATACTATACATCCGAGATGTGGTCGAAATATTCTCAGTGAATTTTTATGCTCACACGTTGAACGATGAAGAGCACAACGAGTTCTGAGGAATCCTGAGATTTCTGCCTCTTTCGTCTTGAGACAAAATCACACGCGCACAGCCCAATTGGACGTATTTCTAGCCAACGGAACTATGAGCATTAAGACATGAGCCCTGAGACTCATAAGATTATATGCATAATAGAGCTCACGTCATAATACATACAGGTCTGTTTGGCAGAAATTCGTCCGATTAATTTGTCTCAGCTTCGCCTGATTGCATCCTAATATCAAAAGATTTTACAAAGAAATAACGATCTGGCGCCATTGCTCAGTTTGATATGTTTCTGCTTTGACGTCAAAGCAGTTTTACACTGCATTAGAGTGTAAATGAACTTGTTACAAACTTCAGCTAGAGCAAAAAGAAGGGTCGTTTTTTACTGAAAATGGCTAAAAATTACGATGAGCGGGCTGGGAAAGTATAACTTGTTCAACGGTCATCGAGCACTTTCAATCGGGCCGGTTATTCAATTGTGAAGTTGGTTTAATATTCTAAATGTAATGAAAGTGTGCGAGAACTTACAAATAACTGAATTATCCGCCGTAGCACTTTTATTACATCTAGAATGTTTAATCAACTTCACATTTTTTTGGTGCACCAATAGAGTTTTTTTGGTGCACCAATAGGGTTTTTTGGTGCACCAATAGGGTTTTTTGGTGCACCAATAGGTTTTTTGGTGCACCAATAGGGTTTTTGGTGCACCAATAGGGTTGTTTAGTGCACCAATAGGGTTTTTGGTGCACCAACAGGGTTTTTGGTGCACCAATAGGGTTGTTTAGTGCACCAATAGGGTTTTTTGGTGCACCAGTAGGGTTTTAGGTGCATCAAAAGGGTTATTTAGTGCACCAGTAGGGTTTTTTGATGTTATGATACGTAGCAAGAAGCGAAAGAAGACGTTACCTCTCTGGAGGATGATGCTGCTGTGGGGGTTCTTGTTTTTAGTCTCCATGGTGGAGCAGTTCCAGCGATTGTCTTTGAGCTGGAATTTGCACTCGTCAACGGCCATGTGGATTCCCTCGACGGCGGCCATGATGACGTCAGGGTTCCTGTAGCAAAGCGCCAATTGCTCCTTACTCATTCCAGGGAGAACTTTGCACACGGCGGAGCCCACTGGAAATCGCTCAACGAACAACCTGCTTTCGCCGACCCTGAAACAGACACAAAAGCATCTATAGCGCCAGATTTCAAGAAGTGAGAGTCAGAGACAGCGCATGCACAAAGAATAAACTCAAAGCAAGCCAAATTTCGTGTTGATTTTGTCACGGTTTGTGGCGAATTTAGCGCAGAAAACGATAGAGAGACTGAGCAACCTCAGAGTCAACTAAAGGCTTGCGTTATTTTGTGTTTAAGGCCCAGATACACGAAGAAAAAAACTTCGTGCATGGGACCCGAAACTGAGGTCATATGGATCTCTGAAGTTTTCGGATCTCGCGCATCCGAAAATTTGAGGTCCAGCTGACGAAGTTCGGGTCAGACATCTGAAGTACTTACGTACATACCAAGGGGTTCGGGTCACACATCTGAAGTATCCGGTACATACCTAAGTCCTAAGTACTTTAGATGCCTGACCCGAACTTCGGCAGGTGGACCTCAAGTTTTTAGATGCGTGATCCGAAAACTTCAGAGATCCATATGACCTCAACCTTGCACCAATAGGAAACTAGGATTTCGATCACTCGTTGTCGAGCTATCGCAATCCTCCTCGTCAATTTTGCACGCAGTTGAATTTAAAATATCTGAAAGTTTCAAGGGAAAATATGCATAAATATAGTAAAAAATACATGTTTTAGAAAGGAAAATTTGGCTACTCTCGAATTTTCATACGGCGTTTTTCCTTAGCACGACAGCATTAATATCTTTATCCGTGATCTTGTTTTCACTCCTACACGCACCTTTGTGTTAAAGCGGCGGCTCAAAAGTGCGCAACGCGATCGCATGGGGTGGGGTCGATAAGTAGCCCGGAGGGGCCCACCTCCCAGCGCGCACCCTGATGCACCTGTTACCTGCTCGGAGCGTGCGTTGGGTGATACGCGTTGGCAACAGGCGGAGTGGGTCGCTACTAATAAAGATCCTCGTCAGGTTCCCACGGGTGATGCAGCTCCCGAAAATTAAATCGCCCAGCGCACAGCGGCGCGGCATTCCGATGCCGAAAGACTCAGGTCCAAGAATGCGGCCGTTGTTCTTGGACCCGGTCTTTTTTAATCTCTCCTCAGAGCCCCCCTCCCCCCCTCCGCCCCGCGCGTTTGCGAGGCCGGAAAAAGTTCACCGAGTTATACTTTCCTCCTCCGACGCGGCTATGTGAATTTGTTTCGGGAATTCGTCGCTCTCTGCGTGCGAAAGCCAGTGGCGTGGCGTGAATTGCGATGTATCGATTGTTATGCCATTTAAACATATGGAAAAGGATCGATAAACAGGATGTTCGCAGCGAACACCTTAATAATCGATTCTTTATCATAGGTTTAAATGGCATAAAAATCGATACATCGCAATTCACGCCACGCCACGCCACTCGAAGTAACGTGACTCCTTTTTATCGGTGCCAAATTTTTGCTTAAAATTTGTATTTTGAGGGGTCGATAGACGATCGAATCAAGAACCAACTTCGATCGATATAGAGCAGCTTTGTAGCTGTCGATCACCATACAACTTTCTTCATTGATCAAAATTGGACGGCCCGCCCAGTTTTAATCCAAATGGAGTGTCGTGTATTCAGTGCTGCCTTTCCCCGGAATCGATTCCAAAATTCGGAACTTTTCAAATAATCGAAACTTTACCTGAAATCTCCGAAATTCCCGGAATTTTCAGCTTTTTCGGAAAATATTCCCGGAATTTTTGAGTCTTTTTTCAGTTTGACCATTGTTCTTTCTTTCTTTTTTTTTTTTTTTTTTTTTTTTTTTTTTTATCAAATTTGATCACCTTCAAAACTAAACCCGGGCGTATTTAGGAATTTTTTCCCGGGACTTTCGAAAAAATCGGATTTTATCTCGGAATTTTGGGAAATCGGATTTAACTCCGAGAGCCCCGCAATCTTTGATAAAATGGCAGCACTGGCATATTTCATAATTCATAATCTTTTGCTGCACGAAAGAATTCTAACTAATTGTTGTCAATGATAAACCGTGTTTTTCCCTCCATTTCCTACAGAATGTCGTCAAACGTTTGGTTAAAAGGAGTAAGGTTGTGCTGCAGAAGTGTAAATACATTGCAAAACGCGTCAGCCAAGTCCAACAGCAAAAGTTAAATCCGAAAAATTGCAGGCAAGAGGAAAAAACCAAATATTCCGTGGGAGGGACGAGTTCAGCTGCTCTGAGCAGCGTGAAAGCGCCTTCAATTTCATTCGATACAAACCGCGCGACACTCAAGCTCGAATAGTTGCATCTTATCAAGCGACGCGACACGTCACAGCGACAACTAAACAAATTGGTGCATGCGAGCATAACATATTGTTATACTGCCGTGTTGAGGAAAAACGCATTTTGAACCTATAGGCGTTGCCAAATTACCTTCGGTAAATCACGAATTTCTGGAAAAATTTGTAAATATTGATCTTCCAATTTTTCAGATAATTTTGTTTGCAATTTCACCTCCAGCTCTTGAAAATTTATCGGAAAAATATTCATAACTTTCCTCGAAAATAAACATTATATCGAAGGAAATTTGGCAACTCTCGAATGTTCATACGGCGTTTTTCCATAGCACGGCAGTATATTCGACTACCTGCAAGTTGGCAGCATTGCGTAGGAGGGCTCTTAATCCTGTTTGTCATCGAGTGCATTACAGAGCGACCGGTTCATTCAGTTTTCTTCGGCCCTCGTTTCCATAATGACAATGATTTTTTTTCACGGTGATTTTTTCACCATGCGTAGCGAGCTCTGGCACGCCCCCACCCTCTCCGCCCGACTGTTTGGGCCCTCGCTGCTATTATCGTATCAATTTTTGACGATGTATCCGAGCGTGTTCATTGATCCTTTTATCGGTTTTCGATCTGGCTCGCTACTTTGTAATGCTAAGGAGAAACGTCGCATGAACAATCGGACGTTGTAAAATTGGACTACATTTTTCAATTTGGAACTATAAATTCTAGCCCGGTTTAAAAACAACGTATGTGTCATTAGTTTCCCCATGCACAAAAGTGTTTTTTCAGATGAGACAGATTTTATAGCTCCAAATTGCAAAATGCAGTCCAATTAGTCGTTTTCGAGACATAAAGCCTGGATACTTGCTCAAATTTCCATCAATTTCCGATGTAATGCTGACTGGTGCGCACCACCTACCATCAAATTTTTGCATGACCGCAAAAATTGATGGCAGACGATGGAACTGTGGGTCTCATCCGTCATCTGATTTCCACACAACGTTGCTTATTTCATGCTTATTTCAATCGGCACGCTGTTTTAAATAATTTTAAATACCAACTTAGATAACATTCGACCGCCATTTTTGTTATATTTTGATTGGAAATTGACGGAATTTTTTATTTCCCCATTAGAATCCGTGTTAAAGAATCTATTATTAAGGTGTTCGTTGCGAACACCCTGATAATCAAACCTTTTCAAAAGGTTTAAATGACGGATCAATCGCAAAACACGCCACGCCACTGACGTAGAATCGATAGTTTTTCATGGATTTGAATGGAGGAAATCCAGAATTGCCAACTCACGAGATTCAACGCTGAGCACGAGGCTTCATCATGTTGTCGTATCGAGGAAAAACACCATTTTTACAAAGAAACGTGGTGTACTTAGGGCTCTTCGACCATCCACCGCGCAACAGTGAGTTCTCTGCTCGGGCATGGCCTAATGCAGAGTTATACGTCCTTTAAATAGGATTACCGAATCAAAAATCCTCACAAAGCTACATTTAGAGGGGGGAGCGGGAGCTTCTCTCTACTTATAACAATCTCATTGAAAGGCGCTCCGAAATCCTCCTGTTGATAGAGAGCACAATTTTGATCTGATATCCTTTGAGCTCTTTGGGAGCCGTTGCTTTCTGGACAAATTTTGTCATCTTGAGCTCAAAGAATCGCCTACTCGGCCGCTTCCTCAAAAACATCAGTCGAGGATCTCTTTAATGTTTTGACCTCCATTCGATGAATGGAGAATGGAAATTCAAAACGTCCTAAGTCCCATCAGATGCCGCTGAGATTGTAGGCCTCGGTGAAAGATTTTGAATGTACTACGATTCAACCCTAAGTTTTGGTCAAAATTTTAGGATAATTAGGGGTACTCTCGGGCCACTTCATCCCCGTTGGATAAAGGAAACTGTTGCATAATCCTCATCATCCAACGTCGTTTACGATGTTTTGTATTTTTACTGTTTGGGTTTTCCCTCTCACGACGTAATGCAAGCAGAAACGCCATGATGGACCGAGAGGAGAGTTTCCTTTTTATTACAGCTCGTGTTTTTGGAAGGATTTTCCTTGTATTGAATTGTATTTCGTGCAGATTTGAACGGTCACAGCCTGGTTTCTCTTTTTTTTGAACAATAATTGATTCCTACTAAAAGTGATTGGAAAAACAGTAAAGTTCCCTTTTTTCATGGGGCATTTTGAAATGAATCAATGAGTTTTAAAAACTGAATCAGCTTTAATTTAGATCCATAATGTCTGGTTTTGTGGTGATTCCACGCTCAAGTCCTGGCACGTATAGAAGAAGAAACATGAAATAATGTAGATGCTACCTTGGGTATGCAAGACATTTTCTTTTGATTGTTTTATCAAGCAGATCCGTTCGACTAAATGACCAAGTGCCCCCGCCCTTGATCGAGTCTCTGTAGAAAAACTACACAATAAAATGATCGACGGGTTGATAATTGTTGATACAACTATATCAACTCTGAGGAGATGTTTTTGCCTATCTGTCTAAAATGAAGGCGAATCATTAACACTGCTCTCAGATCGTATTCATAAGGATATAACAACGGCGATTTTGCCTTCATTTTTGTGGGTGTCTTCAATATGCAGTTTTTCGTTGCTCTTCAATGAAAATGTATGAAACGTTTAAGTAAAGTATGGTAAAAAGCAACAACTCTATACCTAATTTTGGACTCGAATAGACTTCAGAGTGAAGTTAATCAATATCCCGAGAGCATTTCAATTTTCAACGTTGAAACTTCAGGAACGTGTGTCTCTTTTGATGCCTTTTAGAAT